TAGTGGTTCATAGTGGTGGATCCACCAGGTCGTACTCCCGTAGACCCCAGTGTGATACACATGTACACCTGGAGCGTATGTTCTCTATTAGGATACGCCAACAACTTGGCAGTCGTTGAGTCCTTGAAGGCGATCGGGAGTGATGTCCCAATAATCGCCCTACAGGAAACTCGACTACGAGAGGAAGTGCAAGGAGAATGCTCCACAGTGTAAGGGGACTGTAGAACCCAACATAGAAGTGTAGGTGACACCAGATAGGTAAAAACCGTCGAACGGAATAAAATCCTTGAGGTATCTCGAGCAACATCTGTCTCGTCTCATCTGTCGCGTCTCATATAAATAGCGCACGTCATTTTAGGTAAGACGCGTGCATGTGACTTATGACAGGTGACGTACAGATCACGGTTCAGATGTGCCCTTACAACATTCCCACCCCTTTGAAATGTATCGGGTGGTCACAACACAATTGCTTTATAAACAGATCATCATCATGTGCATGTTTCTATCGAAGGATAATGAAGGATTTACAGTTATAAAATCGGATGTTTACACAGAAAAAAAAAGAATTAGTGTTTGTTATAGTTGAATAGCTTTAGCAAAGCACTGGAACTACGAGTGGTGTTACGACTGGGGGTCAAAGTAAATCTTGTAAGCTTCACAGTGAACGGGACCTCAATAATATCACCCTCCGGTTGAGCGATAGGTTGCGAATCTGTCAACCATGTTTGCCCCGTGGAGCTATCAACCCACTTGAGTCGCCAAGAACCATCAGTACCAGCATCCAAGAGGTGTATCAAATAGTGAGTAGGTGTGATAGAGATAATCTGACCGACATAACCAACCCCTCCTTTTTCAAAAATAACAGTCTCGTTGACCTTGAGGTTGTCCTGCTTGGGGCAGGCAGTTCGTGGAGGTTTTCAAACTAGTACTGGCAGGAGACACCGTAGGCAGCGATAATGCGGCAGCAGGGTCACTGGTGGATTGGGGAACGTCGACCATCGCAGGAACTAAGTACAGGTTGTGAACATGTTCCCGATGCGTGCGAGAAGGATCACGAGAATCCTGAATCAAGTAGACGACATCAGTAAGTCGTTCCATAACTGTGTACGGACCGTCCCAACCGGTAGTTAACTTGTAAGTAACCGGCCGAAATCGATAAACCACATCTCCCTGACAAAGTGGGGGACTAAGCGTAGCACGGCGGCGGAGAGCAAGACGCGTGGCAGTATGTTGCTCTTCCCATAACCGATTAAACTCTCTGAGTAAGAGACGATGACCTTGTAAGTGTCTCTCAACAGCATCAGAAGGTGTTAGGTCCTCAGTAGAGTCAAGAGCGGCATGTAGAAAATGTAAGTTGTCAGAGTAACCAAAGAGGAGTTCATGAGGAGACGCACCATACTCGTCTTGGCGGACATGATTCAAGATCCACTGTGTCTCGGGTAAAAGGGTCAGCCAATCGGTAGGACGCGATAGTAGCAAGCGACGGAGCACCATACCCATCGTGCGATGTACTCTCTCAAACCATCCACCATAAAACGGGGACAATGGTGGAGTATGGTATACTTGTATCCCATACTCCTGCAAAAAGCGGACGAAGGTAGGGCTGGTAAAAACCTTTGCGTTGTCACACACAATAGTGGATGGAACTCCATACGACCAAGTTATGCTTCGTAACCCGTGTAGAACTTCGGGCAAAGTGCCGTTGGATAACGGAATCAGGACGGAGTACTTCGTGAGGAGATCAGTAGCGGTGAGGACAACCTTAAAAGTAGCAGTATGCCAGACAGCTGTGTGGTACGGACCAGTAAGGTCCAGACCTAGGGTCTGAAAAGGTCTCGACGGAGCCGGGTAAGTACTAGGTTCATGCCAGGCACGGGTTCGGTGGGTCAAGAGGCATGGCTGGCACTGCTTGACGTATCGTCGAACAGCGTGTCGCAGCTTTGGAGACCAAAAGTACCGTTCGACTAGATGTCGCGTAGCCTTTATACCAGGGTGACCACCAACACTGTGGAAGTGATGGATAATATCGTGAATGAGCTCCCTATGATCAACATCATGTAGGACCACTTGGGGGACGATCTGGCCATAGACGTCGTAGAGTACATGTCGCAGGAGTAAACCGGATGGACTAACCTCCATATGCTGGGTAGCAGAACTCAGGGAGGAATTACGGGTACGGTCGGGGTTGGATAGATACTCAACATACTCAGTCAACCGTGCCGAACCACGCTGACGAGCTCTGAAGAAGCAGAGATCAGCTGGCAGCTCAGAATGGGTGTCTGTATGTCGGAATGCCAAGAACAATCGGCGCAGGCGCCGATAGTCCTGTATAGCAGAAACAAGATCTGTAGCCAGCCAAGGTGTTGGTAGAACTTGTAGAATAGCAGCTCGTTGTACCAACGACTTAGCACCTATTCCCTGAGCAGTGGTAGTCTGTTCCCGCCTAGATCTAGAAGACGCGGAAAGCGGATTATCGCAGCGGTCAAGCAGTCGTTCGGTTAGACCTGAGCGCGTAGCAGAATCGTAGCAGGTTGGCCTTGGTGTCGACGTAGTCGAAATGGATAGTGTTGAACCGTGCCAAACCTACCAACTCTATGCATTGTCCTAGCTTACGTTGTAGAAAGGCCTGTTGTCCAATCGGGTTTGTAGATTTCGTACGAAGAGTACGTAGACAAGAGAGTGCAGTCTTGTTGTCTGTGAACAGCGTCAGATGCGCGAAGCGGGACTTAGCTAGGCTCTCATGAAGGATGAGGCGTGACAAGGCAAAGTACACGGCATACAGTTCCAACACATTCGCATGTAAGGCTCGTTCAGTGCGGCGTCGTAGAATGCGCTGTCCCTGTAGGATGAGATGACCATTCTGGTAGACTTTGTAAGCTAAGGCATACTGGCTCGCATCAGTGTAAACAGTTATGGGCAGAGTAGCATCGATGAACCGGTAGAGAAGAGGGGGTTCGGTGTAGACAGCGTAAGTAGTGAGCCATTCGCAAAGCAAGTCGCAAAGGGCAGGGCTAACAGCATCATTCCACGCCCTTTGCATGCGATGCCGCTCGGAAGTCAATAACCCTTGTAGTAGATTACGCTGTTCCAGACAATGTTCAGGTAACACGTCAGACTCAGCAGTCAACATGCCGAGATGAGACAGAACAGTGCGATACGTCCACAAACGATCGGTGGTAATATGGAATAGGGCTTGCCAGCGAGGCAAAGGAAAGCGGACGTACGTACCATTGTCGACATATTCTAGGCCAAGAGCATTCACTTTAGCGGTGTCGAACAGCACGATGGTTTTCTTGGGTGACATAGGCAGCGAGTAGCGGGCGAACAGGTCAACAACTCTACCAGTAAGGGCCGATACCTCATTCGGCGTTAGTGATCTCGTAGACAGGAGAAAGACATCATCCATGTAGTGTAGGACAGTGACCTGGCAGTTCGAGAGCACCCCCTCCATTACAAGATGCCGAACGACATACCGTACTGCCACCTCGAGGATATGTGGCGAGATAGCTAAGCCGTACGGGACTCTAGTAAAAACGAAAGTGCTGTCTCTATGGTAGAGTCCAAGAAATCTCTGTAGCTCAACTCCCACACGGAGTTGCATAAAGGCGTCTTGAACGTCCATAGAGATAGCGTGGACGCACCCCCGCAAAGCAGTTTTTAATTCGGCCAAAGGTGACTGTCGGAACCGAATAGTACGGAGCAGCCGGTTCAAGCCATAGTTCACCTGCAACGACGGGAAAACCGGGCGAATACGCTTGCCGACGACAGGATAGTAGTTGGTGATAGCACGGACGTGTAAGCCCGGGGGAGGAAGCGAGATTTTGCCGACCGAAAGCATATCGTCGACAAAGCGAACCGCTTCGGCCTTCACGGCCGCAGGTGCGGACGTGAGCTTCGGGTGTTCTCGAAGAACAGGCATATTCGGTACCTGGATGTCATCGATGTCACACCAGATGTACTGAGAAGTACCGTCCGAGACGCAGGCAACAACCAACCAGTCGGTAGAGTCGAGTACTTCCTGGACCTGTAGCGCAGGGTCTAAGCGAACCCAGGAAGGGAGCGCAACACTAGCACGGAAGTGCGTGATGTGAGGGGGTAGGGCTTGCGGAGAAGAGGTATCGGCATCTGGTGCGTCCAGGGAGGCAGTTGTGGAGTGTGTGTCATCCGAGGTCGAAGGAGAAGTATCCACAGGTAACACAGGGGAATAACGGAGAGTGACTTGTAGTTGCTTCAACACAGAACGACCAAAGACCAAAGATGGCTTCATACCAGGAACGACCAGGAGGTGGATGAGACGAAGCTTCCCCTGCGGTGAGATGGTTATAGGTAAGCAGAGCTCAGTGCTCGTCTGGGCTTGGGACCCATTACCATACGTGATCACGACCGGTTCAATAGTTGTCAACCGGTCCCCTCCGATGATGCGCTTAGACAGGAGCTTATCGACATAGGAGCGTGAGATCAGGCCTGTAGTGGCACCAGTGTCGAGCAGAGCAGATATAGTAGGGCGCGTCGGGGCCGTAGTCTTTCCGATGGAGACGTCGAGACGAGGTTCGGGCGGAGCCAACTGGAGGCAGGTTGCAGTTGCCGTGTATTGCGAGGCAGGCGCATGGAGATGGGCAGCATGCGCAACGCTGCAATCGAGTTCAATGGGCTCAACAGGGTCCGAGTCGTCGGGGAGGGCACTCGCACGAAGGACCGTAGTTGACGGTTGAGTGCTTAGGCAGATACTGCGAGCGCATGCTTTTGACTTATGCTTCGTGCTGCCACAGATCAAGCAACGGTTACCTTTTTGCGCAGGTTCTGGAGCTTTGCAGTCGGCCGCTCGATGACCATGCCTGTAGCAGCGGAAGCACCCCTGTGATCTTCCAGTCCTCTTGTGTAGTCGATCAGTGGTAGAAGAGGTGGCTTGGAAGTTTGTAGGGCCGAAGGGATCAACAGGAATAGTGGTCGAGGTTACCGTCGTCGAAATGGAAGAAGGATCAGATGCCTGCGGTTGGCGCTTGTGGAGGACTCTGCCGATGGACTGAACAGCGCTGCGAAAGATAGCATAAGACATGCTAGTAGTGTCCCGGCGCATGGTGAGCTCGTCACGCAGAACAGGCTGAACAGCTGACAAGAGCTGACCTATCTTCTGGTCATCAGTGAGGTCTACACCAACAGTCGCTTCATAGTCGATGAGAGTGTATTCGAACCTCGTGAGGAAGTCGTCGATAGGCTCAGAAGGTCCTTGACGTTGTTCAGAGTAGGTTGTGATGACAGTACGAATTGCAGTGGAGTTCAAGTAGAGTGCGTCCAGACGCTCCCAGATACGGTCAACTGGGAGAGAGCAGGCGTCTGTTGGTATCGCGAGAACTTTCTGTACCTCACGCAAGGCGACCCCACCCAGGTAGCGGAGAGTATAGTAATAGAAAGCCATCGTATCGAAGTTGTGGACCAGCTTCATGCGGAACATGTCATTCTTGAAACTGACGTAGGACTCAGAAGGACCGCCATTAAAAGAACCAGAATGGGGGGCAGTAGCTTGATATGCCCATTGTTGTGCACGTCGG